GGACTGGGCAACCTGACAGTATCCTGCCCACGCAATACAATGAATCTTTCCTCAAACAATTTCTTGATGCTCTGGCCACCGCAGAGGATAATCAACGGTGCCCTATCTGTTGCATCGAGCAGGGTGGATAGGGGTTTGGATGCTACTGCTCAAGCCTTCCCGTCTTCTTATTCCCCCTCTTACGCTTTTTCACTCTTACCGTCCCGTTCCAGCTTCACTTTTACCCCCCCCCCCAGTTTTCAACCCCCTGATTCTTGGCCCTCCCCCAACATGCTTTGCTAGGCATTTATCTTCTAATTTCAACTCACATGTGAACACGGAGCGTCACTCCTCTCCTGTCGACAAGCCCATGTCCAATCAAGCGGCCCATTCCAGTTCATCGGCTTGCATTTGGAGCCCTCGATCCTCCTTCAGATTGGCATGCCTCAATGTACACACATTACTACAGATCGGTCAACAGGCAGCACTTGCCCGAACATTGGAGACCCTCTCGATCGATATCTGCTGCTTATCAGAGACCCGCCTGCAAGACTCGAGCTCTGTGCTCACTCTGCGATCCCCTTCAGGTGATACGAGCAGTGTTTTCTCATTGCGCCTATCCGGTGACGACGCAGCTTCGAGCCCCGGCCAAGCTGGTGTTGGCATTGCCCTGAGTCCCCGGGCTGAAGCTGCTCTGGTTGATTGGATTCCAATCAGTAGCCGGATGTGTTCGGTCCGATTGGCTGGCTCGTTTAAAGCTTCGAAGCCGCGCGGGACTAATAGGTGTCTATTCATCATCGCTGCCTATGCACCCACAAACTGTAGCGATGATTCGGTAAAGAACGACTTTTACCGCCAACTGACCCAGCTCCTTCGCCACAGAAGAAGCACGGACACTGTTGTGCTGGCTGGGGATCTGAACGCTCAAGTTGGAAAGTTGTCCACTGATGAAATGCACCTGGGCGGTCAGCACAGTGTAGGCTCCCGTAATGATAACGGTGAGCGGTTACTTCATTTGTGTGAAGATGCCCGCTTATTTCTTGCGAGCACTAATTGCCGACACAGCACCCGCCGGAAGGTGACTTGGCACCCACCAGCCTTGGACGCAAATCGATCACATTGCGATAAGTTACCGATGGAGAGGCTGCGTCCAGAACTGTCGCTCGATTTGGAGCACATGTGTGGACACCGATCATACACTTGTATGTGCTGACATGCGGATGCGTTTTGGCGGACGCCCACAATGACGCTGTGAGCGCATTGACACCAGCCAACTGACAAAGCCAGCTGTTCTGAATGCGTATCTAAGTACGCTGTCATGCGAGTTGAGTAAACGCTCACTGGAGACAATTGATGGTTACTGGTCACATGTTCACCAGACCTTACTAGCAGCAGGCAAATCCTCATGTGGTATGTCTAATAGCCAACATGGATATTGGGTCTCTTCGCAGTCTCTAGAACTTACCGATGCTAGCCGGCATATTCCGGCTGGAAGCGAACACAATGAAACTCGCAAAGAGCTCCGGGTGAAACTCCGTGCTAGCCTGAAGAGAGACCGCGAATCTTGGTGGTCTCACCGTGCGTCAGAGATGGAAGTGGCCGCTGCCCTTGGCAACCATCGTACGTTATTCCGTCTGATACGGGAAACGGGCATCAGGAGACCTGGTGTTAGTGAAACTATACGTGACGAGAGTGGACAGCCTATCCACAATTTGTTAAAACGTTTGGAGCGTTGGGCTGAGCATTTTGAAAAGCATTTTAATCAGCTAGAATTGTTCGATTCTTCGCTGGCCAGTGATCGCCCTGCTCCGTGGGCTGTCCCTTTGGATCCACCCTCTCGCTCAGAAGTCGAACGTGAGATCGGACTGTTGAAGTTGAACAAAGCCGCGGGACCAGATGCTCTTCCTCCAGCCCTCTTCAAATTCGGAGGCTCTGCTCTTGTTGATGCTTTACATGAATTATTAGTGAAACTGTGGGAGCAGGAGACTGTCCCAACCGACTGGAGCCGCTCCGTTATTGTTCCCATCTTCAAAGGCGGCTCGCGCTCGGAATGCGGCAACCATAGAGGAATCAGTCTGATCTCCATCGCCTCCAAATTACTCGCCTCCATAATTCTTCACAGACTGACTGGCGCTCGTGAAAGCCAGATTCGTGAGCAGCAAGCCGGGTTTCGTCGTGGTCGTGGCTGCATCGACCACATCTTCACCTTGCGTCAGTTGTTGGAGCACCGTCACACATATTGGCGTCCCACGGTAGTCGTGTTCCTCGACATCAAAGGTGCCTTCGATTCGGTTGATCGATGTGCCCTTTGGAATTGTCTACTCAGGAAAGGTGTGCCCGAGAAATATGTAAATGTTATCCGAGCATTATACGCGCGTAGCACGGGCAGAGTGAGAGCTTACGGCAAGCTGTCGCCACCCTTTAATATCTCCAGCGGTGTAAGACAAGGATGCCCGCTGTCACCTTTCCTCTTCAACTTCGCTATTGACGAAGTCATGGAGTTTGCATTTACAGGACATGACTTGGAAGGTGTGGAGCTACTCCCAGGAGAACGAGTTCTTGACTTGGAGTATGCAGACGACATTGCCCTCATCTGTGACAGCTCCCAGACGTGCCAAGCCGCACTGGACAGATTAGCACTGGCTGTCAGCCGCTTCGGGCTTTGCTTTGCACCATCGAAATGCAAAGCGTTTCTCCAAGATTGGCAGGGATCGCCTCCTGCGCTGACCCTTGGTGGGGATCAGCTAGAAGTCGTTCGGAAATTCAACTACCTGGGAAGTTGTATTAGCGCCCTTGGGATCGAAGACGAGATCACGAACCGTATAGCAAAAGCTCGAAGTGCTTTTGCTAGTCTTCGCCACCTATGGCGGCGGCGCGACATTACTCTCGCCCTGAAGGGTAAAGTGTACAATGCAGCGGTACGTTCGACCCTACTGTACGGTTGCGAAACCTGGCCCCTAAGATCGGCGAACATGAAGAGGCTAGTTACGTTCGACCACCGGTGCCTTCGCAGTTTGGCTCACATCTGGTGGGAACACCGCGTGAGTAACGAGCGTGTTCGACGCCTTGTTTACGGCCCAGGGAAAGGAACTGAACCGCTCAGCACCGGTATTTCACGCACCAAGCTCCGATGGCTGGGCCACATGTTGCGAATGCCAGCCCATCGACTTCCACAACGCGCGTTGTTTGCTCACTGGGGATGTGGATGGAAGAAGAGGAGAGGTGGCCAAGCGATGACTTGGTCAAGAGGAATGAAGGCCCTCACTTCGGAGCTGGCCTCGGTTGGAGCGTCACGGCTCCCTGGTTGGGGTCCAAAAGACGGTGAACACGTTTGGCTGGATACACTTGCTGACATGGCAAGGAGCAGACCTCAGTGGCGTTCGTGCTGTGAGTTTCTTTGTCCCTCCCCATCCCTTTTAGCCTCCCCCTCCATCTACGATCTCATTTCCTTGGGTAAAACATAATAATTGTTTTCTTCTTTTTGCCTAGTAGCTGGCTGGTAGCTTACCGGAACGAGGCCTATCCGTTGCTGGTAGCTCAGCTGGCATGCAACTTTTGTGTTTGTTTTCCTTTTTCATTTATGTATTGCGGCACAGTAGCTGAGGTGTTTCCCACCTCTAGCTGACGTATATAATGATGAGTACTAAGTGATGATAAGCAGGTTAGTTCATTGATCTAAAAATAAAATGGGATGTGTTGTGCTGGCTTGGGCGCGTGTTACGCTTAGCGAGGCGGGTTTATTTTTGTTTTGCTGGATGTAGGATGACGCTAAGCTCATTCACTGACGACTAAAGAAGCTGCTGCCGATCCATCCTGGATGGTGTCCACGCTGCCTATCTTGCGCTTGCTTTGAAGCCTTGTGGTCGATACCATTTGCGTGCTTACTGTCGTCTTCTGACCGAATTTTCCCTTTACAGTGTGTGTGGCGGTGAGTTATCTGTGGGGTAGTGGAAGTCGCAAGGGAGCGAACTCGCCGATATCACCTTATGTGCACAGGATAGTCATCTGTTTGTGATTGCGCTCCTTTGACAAGGTGTAGGGCTCTTGACCTTGGGTGTTTACTTAGGGTATTCAGATTTCACACTGTCCCATTTGTCCTCATTCCCTAGACCATAGTGGTTGTATCGTAGATAAACATCAGGTCAAATTACTGATGCACTGCTGTTGATGATGATGAGTGTGGTTTATTCAGCGTTTGTGCTTTTCTGACATGTGTGCTAAAATTTATTGTTTAAGCTTAACATCAAGTTTCTGAGCTACCTCAGTTGCATTATTAGCACGCTGTGTTGCTCTACGAGAGATGTGATTGCATGCGCTTCTAGGTTTGTGATGATACCATTAGTGTGTTCCGATGTGTATCATGACCCTGTGCGGCGCGCAGTGTTTCATCGCCGAGAAACATCAGCCATCATCAGTTCATGTCTTGAAGACAAACCATGGGTACTGTGAGAAAAATACTCAAGCCCCGACATGGAACTCGTGCAAAGGCTCTATGGACGCGGTTTTATTCTCTACTCTGATTGCCATCACAAAGCGCTTATTCAAATCAATATTTGATGAGTTGTCCTAGTGCCTTTTGACGCTCCGTTACTATCGTCGAGCGGGCTGCCGCACAAGTGAGCATGTTTTTTTCCCAGCGATCAATCCCAGATTCCCGACGCCTAAGAGCGAAATATTTTGTCGGCTACTCATCCCTCGATATCTTTGCCAATTGGGCACCATTCATCACTGAGCGGGTCACGTAACCTTCACGAAGCAGGTGTATTCGCAGCGTTATATGCACGCATCTATTTTTTACCACCTCATATTTGAGCGTCTTATCATTAGTTATGTCGTACCATGCCATATTGCTTCCTCTTTTCCCTCCGAAACACTCATGTCACTGTATTTGTAACTCAATCAGATACTCCGTTAGTGCAATATGAATCTACTTCAGTCCATTTATTTGTCACTCGCTCCCTAGATTTCACTCTCAGAGTGAATAATATTACATTCCCCGTTCCTTTACTTTTTTGTTATAGCTGCCTAACCAGATATCCTGGTTGGATGCAACTGTTTATTTCTGTCTGCTATTGGGGTTTCAATTGCCTTGGCAGTTTGCTCAGTTCGCCTTGGCTACCCAAGTCGCCGCGCTGTTTGCAGCCGTCTGCATCAGCACGGTGTTTTGTTCCCATGAACTTGCTCTTCATTTGATTCGACGTGTGCGTACGGTTGTGTGGGCCCACTTACTCGCATTGCTCGCCAACTTCGTTTTACAATTCGGCAACCGGTTACTTCTGACGTCTGGCTATCCTGCGGGCCTTGCAGGAACCTTGTTCGGGATTTGGATTTTGACAAAGCAGCTTAATCGGAAACCGGATTCTAAGGTGACAGCCGCAGGTGGGTATGTTGAAAATCAATACTTGTGACATCCACTTCATTACCTTGTTATATGTGGTTGTACGTCTTTCACTCTTGGTCGCTTTTGCACAGATGTTATGTTTTGAACTTGGCTTTGGGCTCACAGTATGCGTTATACCGTTGAGGAGTCTTTTACAGCCATCGCGCAGAGTACGGCATTTTCAGTGCCCGTTACATTTTTCCGTAGCTTATATTTAGTGTTTTAGTTTTCTCTGTATACCTAGTTGATTTTTCTGTGCTCACTTATTCAAGGTGCTATAGTCTTTGTGGTATCTAGCCGTCTACTCATGAGTGGACGCCTTCCGTTTCTCTGAGTGCTTTAGTCCTAGTCGAACGCTGACTGTTCTAGACACTATAGTTTGGAACGGTGCATTTCATGTGTTGAGTTTCTGAGTGGAGATGAACTCGGTTGGGTGTACCTCGTATCACTCTGTCTACTTCACATTACTATGAGGGGAGAATGTGTTAAAGACCTCTAATAATCAATTAATTAAATCGCCAGCTGTACGCCTTAACGACGTTTCGCTGCCTCGCGACCACTGCCAGTCGCGCGTGGACTGAGTATACCGCGAGGACGCCCGCACTCTACGCGGATTCGAATCGGTGATTTATGGTTACAAACCAGGCGCGCAGACCGCTGGGCCACCGGCCGACCATTATATTGCATTAATTGCCTTTCCCCTGACTATCGTGTCTTCCATTCGACGATTTGGATTTTTTTTGTCTATTCTTACCTTTTTCAGACCTGTTACTACCATCCCTATTGTTATTATCGGGTGACAGCAGGATCTACTGTGTTTCGATGCACAGATCATAGGCAATAAGTTGTTCCGAACTAAAATAAGTTTAGTGTAGCCGTGATAATATTTCCCACGATTGCGCATTGATTAACCTAACAAACTCGCTCATCCTCTGCCTGGTGTAACGCTTTGTCTCTGTCCTTGTCTCTGTTTAGATGAAACCTGTTTGGTTCAAGTCTTCGGTGTGTCAGTTTGCACATGGCGCTTCATCTTGTCGCCGCTGTTGGCTACCACCGGTTTCACCTTCTGTCCCGGTCTCTTGTTAACTCACCTTTTCTTTCCTACCGCGGAAGCCGAACACGACGGTGGGCACATTGTGGATTTGCTGCGTGAGAAATTGCAACTTGGCGATGGGTTTCGCACTTTTCACACCAGGCTATATACTTGTGCCGCAGAATTCGACTTCATTGGTGTGAGTTTGTGCACCTCTTATGCATATGATCGATATGACCTATACACCCGATCCAAAAATGGGTCTGACGGTTGTTTATGCTTCCCTCTGAAGATCATACAATTGCTGATTTGCCAGGCAGGTATCGAATGGTCAGCTGGTACTTGTGGATCTGTGTGTGGTTATGTAGAGACAGTTCATTCTCACGCGCCTCATATCCTTTTGATTTTACGGGTGACGCGCAGCGCATATTAGTTCATTTCCCCAGGAACCGGTGACTTCCCATTGTAGCTAGATTCCTCACATCTACTGACAGCATTGCAAAAGGAGCATTAATGTAACTTCATGAAGGGAACGAAGTGTTTCATTGTCCGGTGGGAGAACTAGGCATGTATTCAGCAAAAGTCCCTAGAGCTCCTTATTGGGTCGTGTGCTGAATTTACACCTTAATGTTCACGTGAATGTTGACTGCCTATCTCGGCGATGGCTTCCCAGTACTGCAAATAGTTAAGTGAAACTTGTGTGACCACCTAATAACGACAGTTGGCATGATGAAACCAGCTCAATGACTTGGTTGGACTGGCTTATGTCTGCGTACTTCATCGAGGTAGACTTCAACAACGGGTAGACGCACTTTCCCACCCGGCGCTATTGATTTAGGTCTCTTGGTTTTAATCCTTAATGTCTGCTTTTGACGATTGTGACGTTTCACAGTATATACATTCTTGTCTTTCGCCGACGCAAGTGAAGTTAATCGGTTCTACTGGATTTCGTCGTGTGGATGATCGTGATGGTCTAACTGGTTTGAAATGCACACTGGCATTTTAGTTCAGCCCGTGTTTATCTGGACGTTTTTCGCTCCTTTAATGTACTTTCTTAATCTTGGGTACGCACACAGACGCGAGCTACTGAAAACTCTCCTGATTGAATTCCCCACTTATTTGGTGCTTCATCGACAACCTAATTTCAATGTTAATATGTGAACGCTATCAACACCATCCGTTGGTATTTCGCAACGCTTTTATTTTTCCTCTCAGTGGAAGGCGCTGGAGCAGCTTGTTTCAACAGGGCTTATACCTGCGTCCATTCTATGCTGCTTATGGGCACTTGGATCTGCCTGTCACCGCATCTTAGTTTCAAGCGCGAAGAGTCATTACTCCCATGAGCGATCGAAAGCGTACGTAGATTTCGTGTCCATCTTTATTGTTTTTCAGGTGAGAATGTGATTTTCAATTAAAATTCTTTCACAATTGCGCTCCTTTTTTCTCATGAGATTCATCCGATTTCTGCAGAACTTTGAAGTTTTCACTAGCGGAGAACCCGACGATCTTGCTTGCCCCTCAATGAACTATGGCGGTAATTCGCGCACATGCGGGTTCCATTGCTTAGTGGTGGTGATATAGCTGCTGGGGACAACCAACAGAAACGCGTTCGCATTAAAAGCGTCATGCAGGTGGCATACAGGTACTTTCTCTACAAAGGCAATGATGGGATTGACTGGTCGGAAATCCTCCGTGTTATCGAACGGAACGTCCGAATGCTCACTAGCGCGTTATTCTTGCGAGCAACGGACCAATGCGACCACTCTGTTTAACATCGGTTGCATCAGACAGCATCACTAATTTAGAGCAGGTGTTTGACGGCCTAATAGCACACAGTGGTATGGTGGTTACCATTAATTTTCGCATCATCTTCCACTTTTGACCACACTGATTACGACAGTGCGCAACAACTTTATTTTTAATTGTCTTATTATGCCGCTATCTTAACAAACATTGGCGCCGTCAATGGGGTTGAGTTGATCTGTTGATGTTGAATTATGATTCATTTGCCAATTCGTGCGTCTTTGGTGCACTTGACACATGTGGAATCGATTGCAGGTTTAATGCAAGGAAACAATTCCCAGGTTGCTCTTATCAGCTTATCACTCATGTTCACGTGGACTACCATTATCTCCTCGAAACAACCACATACAAGCCACATATCGCGAAGTGTTTCCTGTCTTATCCTTGAGAATTTCGTTGATGTCACAATCAAACCACCGTAGTTCGCCTGAGCGGTTGCGACAGACCGCATGGAGCCAAGATTACACATACAACGAAGATGGCACGCACACCTTACTTCTGTCCAGTCACTGTCACTTGTAATCGTGTCCGTTTTGATGGTACAGTCCATGTACTGTGCTATTCAGATTGCTAGGACAAAAGGATACTTGGGGCTGTCCGCTCGCAACCGTGCACTCCACGATTGATTTCCTACTTCTCTGCACTCATCAGGTAGAGATGGCAGGGCTGCGATTCGAACCCGCCACTGGGCAACCCGTATCACAACGGTTACTTACTCATTACTGGCCCATTCAAAACATCCGCTGTGTGAATCGACGGTGACACGTAATCCATATCTGGTCCGCGATTCGCTTCGAAGTGAACCTCGGTTACTTCTTTCATTGGGACTGTAATCAACACAAACAAATGTTAGGCGTTGCTCGCTCGCTTGTAACGCTGCACTTCACGACCGCATTCGTACTTGTTTGCAACGTTAATCGCGCCCCACACTGAAATTCCGTATCATGATTCACCTACACAGGAAGCACTTCAAATAACAGTGGGCTCGCAAGATGAACTGGGAGTTTTTCTTCTAATATGTGTCTGGCTGTAATTAGCTTACATGGGGCTCTATTCATATTCCGCCTATTGCCTCCTTAGAATCTTGGTTTTGTCGCTAATCACATTTTTGTTTGTCCTCCAGTTATGCTGCTTCTCTCTGATGGCCTTGCTTGTTATGCGGCTGAAGTTGTTTTGGACTCCCCAACTGTGTCTGTCACTAGCGATTTTGGCACAGCCTCGCAGATGGGACCGTCTGGCTGCCACATTGCGCGGATGGCTAAAACTGGACAAGCGGAAATCGTCTGGAATACGCACGTATCCGAAATGGTTCGTTCATAGTCTCCTTGCGTCTCTACTCGCCTATATGTCTGTTTCAGGAAGGAAGAACATCCAGGTGGGTCTTCGTTTGGTGGAATAACAGGATCGTGGTCACTACACAGCAAAAAATTTGCGTTCATACTTAATAGTAAAGATACGGGTCTGAAAGGTTTCGGTGTCTCTCTCCGCATACATGCACTCCACGACCGACGTTTTCGTCTTGGCCTGGACTCATCAGGTAAAGAGCCCAGCTGTTAGTGCTTAGCGGTTATCGCCATGATCACTAGGTCTGAGTCGGAGGTGTGTTACGTTGTGCTTAGTTAGCTGCTTGTTTAGGAACTGCGCCTTGTCAATGCTATCGTTTTGACGTGAACACACCATAGGTGCCTGGGATATTCTTAAAGTGCTCCAGATTGCTTCTGTTGCTAGAATCCTCATGTGTGGGGTAAATCAGTGCTCCTGTTGGAAGTCACGGAATTAAATCCATTCGAGCGATTCACAAGTACTTCTCTAGATCAGTGCACATAGTTTGTACCTCCGTTCCACCGACTGTATCCACCACATTGGTTGTTTGTTAAAATCTGGTTTTTAGCTTCGTTGTCACTAACGAGTCGTTCCGCGCTTCGGACGATGTTCATTACACGGTCGTATTCCTGCCTATTTACTAAGAGAGAACATTTCCGTATGTAAGGCGAAGTCGCCGTCGGATTATGTAGTCCAAAAATGATTGGTTACTCATTGACTATTCTGTTCCCTCGTTTGTTCATTTACGACGCCGGTAGCGTTGTCATTTTCTAGGCGGAATGGGCGATTCGTGGTCAGTTCAGTGCATACAACGATGAAGTTTTACATAATTGGTTTCAAAGTCTACCGCCACCACCCGCTCCTGAAGCCTACCAAAAGCCATGGGTGATTTCCGGTCCGATGTCTACCATGGGATCCCTTCGGTTAATGTTACCAGCGTCACCACCCTACCCAACAACGCAGCCGAGCTCCGAGCCCACAGGTACCACGGTCGGGTTTGCTTTTACCAACCACCCGCATTATGAGAGTGCAGAGCTGCGCAAACGGACCGTTCTCGCCTACTCCATCTACAGCCGGAAACCTGTCGAAGAAATTTGGAACATTTACCGATATCAACTGCAAGTAAGCTATGATTGGAAAGCCTCGACACTGGTTTAATTTCTTATTATTGTTAACAACGCAACTACCGCTTTGTTGGTGCGATGAATCAGTGCCTGTGGGTACCGGATAATACTGATTAATTGATGTTTCATGGATAACATAAGCTTGTTCATTCAACATGATTCGTGAAACAAAGTGCGGCAGACCCAAATGCCTTGGCCTACACCCATACGACAACCGCAATAAGCCGTTAAGATCCTTAGCCGTAGGAATCGGCATTAGGAGACGAATGCCATGACGCTGCGAACTTCGTGATCGTGCTGATTATGCGTCCGGTCCAGCAAACCTTGTACATAAAGATGACATGTACTCAGTCTCGGCCAGTCTCTTCGTAACTCGGTGCCGTGTCACTAACGTCTTATTCTGGTTGTCAAACACCATTCCCATCCTTAAAATGCCGTAAAACGTCATGTGAAAATCACTGTTTATCAGTCTGGTCACAGTTGTCTACAGACTAATAGCCTGTATCTTACTGCTGCGAATGTTCCACTGAAAGATCGTTGAAAATCAGGTAAGCTTGCGCTGCTGAGGTTGATGTTGCATACATCATGCTTCTTCACCGCAGTTGGGTTACACTAACTAGATTTTGCTGCATATTCCATGTCACTGTTGCGCATTTATTTGCCTTCGAATATGTTGGTTGTTTGATATTCTCGGCGTGGCTGCGCTTGATGCGAATGTAGACAAGGTGCCTACCTGTCTAACGCTCTGCACCTCGTCATATCCTGGCTCCAGGATACAGTTGGCCGTTGCTGGACGGGACGGAATACACGGTCCTCAGTACCTTGCTAGGCTCGAAGTGCTTCCATGCATCCAGTGTGGAGCGGGCTACGGTCCAGTCACCTTGTGTACGTCTGGTGCGCATGAATGCTTCTGTTCTGCCACCCATGGTCCCTGACTAGACTGGGGCTGTTCCCGTGGAAGCCGCAGTGACAAGCAAATGCGGAACTGGATGCCGCCAACAATTTAAGGAACAGTTTATTTGAACAACATTGAGCCAAGCAAACCTGTGGAAATTAGTGGAAGATAACAGGTAGGACCATCAACATTGTAGAACATTAGCTGAAGGCGGTCAACATACTTCAGCTATTGCGCTGCAAGAAGACACGGAACCTTTATGTTATTATTTTTTTGTCTTTTTTGACTCTTAGGCATTAAGCATCGGAATCTAAACAAGTATGCACATAGATCTCTCAGTGGTTTCGAATGCGCGCCTTATCCTGAGTTATTTCGAGCTATCGGGACTCCAACGGCTGCACAACGTCAGGTCAACGATTTCATATGTTGTCCCCAGATAGACGGCTGACCACCGCGTGGTCTCTTCCAGCCAAGTCCTGCACGAACGGAAAGGGCGCAATGGGGCAAACGCTCAGCTGAAATACACAGGACGCGAACATGCCATCATAACTAGGGCAGCACAACCAGCTTGTTGAGGTGAATACTTGCATTCCCAGACACGACGTCTGACTTTACCGTTGCGGATACGTTGACAGCAAACAAGAAATCCCCACCAAACATTCACTGTCGAAGCACCCGGTAAATGGCATGTCGACTGCAGTTGTTTGGCAACCGACGCTAGCGAAAGGACCGTATAAGTGAAACGGAATTCCTTCATTTGTTTTCGGCAACAGACTACAGTACCTAATAAGTGTCTGTTGAACCTGAATCGCTCTCCTTAGCTCTGTTGTGTGATGCGCAAGCCCGCAAACCGACATCATCAGCATGTGTTGATTCTCTATACTGCGCGTAGTTGGGTGAACCACTAAGATGAGGACAAAAAACACAGAAAGGCTCAGGCGGGTTGATTTTTGCGATCTCTCTGTGTGGTATCCTTGCGACCAGCCACGTCACTGTTTTGATACCCAGTCAGTAATACTCTTGCATTAGTTCCCTTGCTTGTGACTCTGATGATTTCGGATTTATACATCCCGTCTGCATCACGGTTGTTATTATGATTAATGTAAAGCGTATCGAGGAATCTGGGTACGCTGCATTTCATAGCTTACCAACTGACTTGAATTTCACCACGTTAAGGCCCACTTGTCCCGTTTGTACGACACCAAATGTATCTAACGAACACTTCCTGTTGATGGCAGCTTACTAACCGATTTGGCTACGACTAGCTTGAACCAACGGAACCCCGATCTCGCTCTTTCGTTTGGTGCTTTAGAAAGCGGCATAAATTCTTACGATGGGCAATACTTAATGACAAGCGCTTACCACATAAGTGGGACACTACCAAATATTCCATTTTCTTCCATGTATCACGTGTCAGGACATCAGGGACATTTTTGGACCAAACAAACTTGCTCAACCTAAACAGTGTATTCTTGCTTACCTTTTCAGGCAGACTTTGTGATAATGGATGCGCACAGCTGTCTTCCGCGCCAAGGATGTAGCAATCCGGAGCTGTACGACCTCATGGAGCCACATTTAATTGGACGACCCGCCTTATGTGAAGCACTGCTCGCTCCTGAGGTGATCAAAAATGGTGTAACGCCGATCGGTTGGAAACGCTTTTTTGATGTGGTTTATGTGGATTTGTTCACAGGGCAAGTAGTGCTCTATGTTAAACGGACCTAATTCACATCGTTCTTCGAAAGTTCACCTCCTCTAAGCCGCGTTTCTTGTTTCAATATCGATTTTGGAAATACAACACTTATTTGATTAACTCGGTAGCCGTGCATAGTCTATCAAACTACATTTGTCTGTGTACGTGTTTTCGTTTCTCGATAAGCATGTCTTCAGCAAGTGGTTTATATTCGCGGTTAAATGATTACATCAGCCTTCTACGCGCGTAGCTCGGGCAGAGTGAGGGCTTACGGCCAGTTGTCGTTGCCCTTCAAATATCTCCAGCGGTGTGAGACAAGCAGAATGGCCCTCACCATGGCCTTGTATACACGGTCTTTCAGACGGAGGGAAACTCCCTTCTGTCGCCAAAGATGCCGCAGGTTCAAGAAGACAACTCTGGCTTTTGCAATGCGTGAGCTGACGTCAGTTTCTATGCGCCCATCCTTGCTGATGCAGCTGCCACGTTAAGTGAATTGATCAAGCACCTCGAGTTCCTCGTTAGCAACTGTCAAGGGGCCATCAAGTGGCTGGTGGTCCTGCTGCAACTCTTTTCACTGTGAAGGTGCAAAGCGCATACCAATAATGGGACCACTCTAGACAGGCTATTCAGGGTTGATTGTGCCACCGCAACATTGTCGAAAAGCAAGACGATATCGTCCGCATAATCTAGATCAACTAACCTTTCACCAGGAAGCATTTCAACACCTACATCTTGAGATTCCGCAAGAGAACACCCCATGATAGAATCCACGACAAAATTGAACAAAAATGAGGAAATCGGACAACCCTGACGAACACCACTTGTGGTCGGAAAGCTATCCGATAGACCACCGTAGACCCTGACGCGGCTTGTAGTGTCCGAGTATAGAGCACGAAGGATGTTCACATATTTCGTGGGAACACCTCTCCGCGCAAGTATTTCGAACAGAATCGATCGATCGACTGAGTCGAACGCACTCTTGAAATCGAGAAACACAGCTATTGTCGGTCTGCGGTATGCGTGGCGCTGCTCTAGCACCTGCCGCAAAGTGAACATACGGTCTATATAGCCACGTCCTGGGCGGAAACCGGCCTGCTCTTTCGTAATCCGAGATTCCCGTGCCACAGTGAGGCGACGAACGAGAACCGAGGCTAGTAACTTTTTCACAATTGGCGTTAGCCTAATACCCCTGTGATTAGAAGAGTCAGTGCGACTGCCCTTTTTGTCTAATGCCACTATACTCGATTCGCTCCAATTGGCCGGGACACTGTCTTCCTTCCAAATACATTCGAATAGGGAGGTCAGTGCTTTGTAGAGGATCTCACCTCCATCCTTAAATAGTGCAGGTGGGAGGGAATCCGGGCCAGTGGCACGAAAACGATTCAGGACTGTGATCGCGTTTCGGAACTCGGCTTCCGAAAGTGGCTCTAAACTAACCGTCCATGGCTAATTCTGCATCACCTAAGTAGGAAGAGGTCCGGGAGCAGGGGGCCAGCTGAACTGATCTTAAAAGTGTTCCGCCCAACGAGCCATACGGCGCTCCTTATTGTGTATCAGCGCACCCGCGCTATCTCTGATTGTGTCACTGACGCTTGGTTTTCTGGGACCATTGGTGCGGATTAGCTGGAAGAGCTTGCGGCAATTGCCTACTGCTCCTGCCTCCTCCATTTCTTGAGCCCTACTGGTCCACCAAGCTTCCTTGTCAGCACGTAAACTTCGCTTTAGTTCGCGCCTAGTAGCCCGTCTGGTCACATTATGTTCAGAGCCAGCCGGGAGGTTTCTTATGGATTCCAACAGGTTCACTGACCTCTCGGATATCTAGTGACTGGTGCGGTGACGATTGATAGTGCCACAAGCAGTCGTGCATGGCGGCCGAGATCTTATTTCACTGAAGCTCAGTGTCATTAGGACAAGACAGCGATGTTCGGTATACAGTGCTTCTTGATAGGCTTGCCTGACCGAGGACTGAGACAATTACTCCGTTGCCAATCGGAGGGGATGTTTGGTGCGCCTCCCGGAGAAACGACCGCGTGCCAAGGCATAATCAGAGTCGACGCAGGTATTCCAGTACGAGCGGCAATCCAGGATGGAACCACGCCACCTGTAACTTATGGTTATGTGGTCAATTTGGGTCCGTCGCTGGCCAGCTACAGGAGGACGCCAAGTGGCACTTCGGCGCCCACTGTGTCTGAAAGCAGTGCTACTAGTAAACAACTGGTGCTCCGCACACAATTGCAGCAGACATTCGCCGTTGTCAGTTTTTTTCGGAGTTAAGCCCATAATTGCCACCTAGCTGAGCTTCTGAAGAGCTCAGACGTCCTACTTGTGCGTTCATATCCCCTACAAGTAGTATGATATCTGAACTAGTGGCACTGCGTAGTAGCGTCATCAGTTCGTGCTAGAATGTATCCTTGGAAGCATCAAAACTGCAGTCGGCGGGAGCATATACAGAAATCACAAACAAAGGGCGTTTTTTACTACTTCGTGAATCAACCTTAGCTGATGTCGTCAAACGGGCTTTATGTAAACGGCTGTTCACCAGAATCCAATCAATCAACGATGGCTCAGCCTTGGAGCTGAGAATGATACCTACACCAGCTTGACCCATGAGTGCTGCATCGGGGTCACCGGATGCGTGCAACCAATAACGAGAGGATAAGCCGGGTGCAGTTATTTCAACAACCCCATTAGTGTCGTTGATTTTAGTTTCGGACACACACACACACACATTAATACCCAGTGTGTCCAAGGTGCGTGCGAGTGCAGCATGTTGACCTGTTTGTCTTAGAGTGCGAACGTTGAACGTCGCCATGGAAACGCGACAGCGTGGACTTATAGGGGATTGTTGTCGATAGGCGTCCGGTGTGTGTCGCGAGAAGGTGGCTGCAGATGGTTCTACTCCAGTGGCACTTCGGTTGCTGTTAATTAAGCTGGGAATTACAGAAGGAAGGTTAGTAATCGGGATCAGGATGGGAATAAGAGAAAAAGGTTGAAAAGAAAGGAGGCGCCAGCAGTAGCATGTTTTCGCTTATCCGCCCTGCTGTATGCAGCAGATAAGGCGACCCTTGATAATCTGCTCGACGGCCGATGCAGGATGAAGTTTGTTGGAGGAAAAAGTCTTGGTTGTATGTGGGCTGGGATACTGTCAGGGCGTCCAGACCTAGACAGGAGGACGATTAGGGTCCTCATCCAAAGCCTTTGGCTTACAAGCCTGTCCGCAAGGCAGCGGGGAGATGGCAATGATTTAGCTATACAAAATGGACGCCATACCATTTGAAACCCCCAACCTGGAGGACCAGGAGACTGAGTTTGTCTGACCTTTCACCATTGACCAACCTGGTAGCTCTCAAGCTGCCCGGGAGCACCACCTAGTATAGCTCAATGGGTCAATGAGGTACACAAACTGTCGCACCACGTTAAGGTCCAGTTTCTTTGCGACGGTAGTCTCGTGCCAAGCTGCACTGGACATATCAGCACTGGCTGTCCGTCACTTCGGGTTCGCTTCGCACCCTCGAATTGCAAAGCGTTCCTCCAAGATTGGCCTTGGCCGCTTCCTGCGCTGACCTTTGGTGGGGATCAGCTAGAATTCGTTCAAAAATTCAACTACCTCGGAAGTCGTATCAGCGCCCGTGGGATTGAAGATGAGATCACGAACCGTATAGCAAAAGCTCGAGGCACTTTTCCTAAGCTTCGCCACTTATGGCGGTGGCGTGACATCACTCTCACCCTGCATAGTAACCGGCTGGTAGCTTACCGGAACGATGCCCATCCGTTACCGGTAACTCAGCTGGTTTGCACCTGCTGCAATTTTCCCCTTTTTTCTTTTATGTATTGCGACAGTGGCTGAGGTGATGATCGGCAAAAGTGCTGGAAACAATAGAGTTTATACAAAAAGTAAATCAAAAATATGTACACTTCTTAGATCACGGAATCCTGCTCTTCCTCAGACAAAGCCACGTGGTCAACTACCTGGCGGCTAGATCGCTTCTGAGTTGATCTTCGCTGCCTGGTAGTTTTGGCGGTAGACTTTTCTGTGCCACACTGGGTAATACGCCTCCGGCTTTGACGTTTTCGATATGGGAGTTGCTGTAGTTCCTCCGGTAGTGTGCATTCACTGGTCGAGGGCATACCACTGCTAGGCTTTTCCCCGCTGTTCGCCGCGTCTTTGGTCAATAGCTGTGAAATCGCTCTCCGGGCTCGTTTACTCGGCGGCAGAACCTACAGAACGATGAGATGAGAGAATTAGCAAATTACACAAAGTATAGAGCAAATTTATTCATTCTAATATTGGAAACTTGCCAGTACTCACATTCACCGGATTTTCATCCGATCTATCTTCATTTTGGATGGGGGGAAAGTAAGCCGTGATGCGCGCTGTGGGTGATGACGAACTGAGGGCCCGCTTTTGCTGCCTATTTAAGACAGCACGCAGCATCGACTCTGTTTGATCTGGACGCCAACCAAGCAAATTCTGTGTGTATGTGCCTAATGAAGAGCAGTGCGTTAAGGAGCGTGCAGCCAGCGTCACCATTGTCATTAACAGATCGAGTGTCTGTGCACTCCGCTGGTTACAGAAGTGGCAAGAGTAATGAGGGGCCTAAAACCACGGGCAATCACGGAAGTGGCTCACAGTTACCAATAATTCATTAGCACAATTGAGGGTCAGTTTGAAGCACTCGTGCGAATGGATCTCGGCCCATTCAGTCACCTAGACTGTAGCTGAGAAAAAATGTTTGGAGTTGATCGCTTGCAACACTGCACTCCATGGACGGACTCCTGTCTGTTTGGACTTATCGAGTGGAGATAGCAGGATTGCGATTAAAGCCAGAGATGTAGAAGCTACCGCCTAACATACATATCTTTCTCAGATATAGTCTTAATGTCTGAGATTCACTTCGAGATAATTCGCGGTCCAGATAAAGATTGCGTGTTGTGATCCATTCACACGATTGCCTTAAACTAACCCTCAAATAAATCATTAGAAGTGGTGACATTCGCTACTCGATGATGAATCCATTTTTAATGATGACTTACAGTAGCATCTACATAACTTCCCCTCCATACCTTTGAACAGAAAGCAAATGGAAGCTCTCTCACTGCGTCTGAACTACAAAGCCCCTCCAAGGAAATTTGATCGAATTCATGTGGAAGCACAATTCGATAAGCTGATTGAGCAAGCTTAACCCGACACAGGTAAACTACAACTGGCTTAACGTTAAGCTTGTGGACATTGCAAGTGGCTTCATGAAGGCACCGATACGCCAAACTTGCACTCTAGACAAGCACCACATCAAAGAACTACGCTATCTGAAATCCAAGCATGTGATAGTTCTGAAGCCGGTCGTGGGTACTGGAGTCGTCATCATGGACAAGTCAGATTACCCAAACAAGATGTATGAGATACTTAGTGATAAGTGCAGGTTTCAAAAGTGTGACCCACGTAACCCAGATAGAAAATTCGGTGGCCAGCAGGCTGAAAATATTGCTGCACTACGGAATGATTACAGAAGCAATGTACAACACACTTAAACCAACGGGCAATTACACCCCACGAATGTATGGCTTAGTGAAAACCCACTAGGCTGTCATACCTCAGTCCATGAATACTTCTCCGTATCACAAACTGGCCAGGTGGTTAGTCAGAATACTAGCGCCAGTCAGACAAATGATCATGAGACACACTGTCAAAGACATCTTCGAACTGATCGAACATGTACAAATATGAACATAACAGACAAAGTAATGTGTTCACTGGAGATTCAATCACATTTTACTAATGTCCCATTAAAAGAGACATTGGAATACCTATGCGATTCGTAACGAATAGAAAAGTGGCGTTCTCGATACCCGTCGAATATCTAAACGATTTAATTCTGTTATGCACAGAGAATGCACATTTCTTATTCGGAGGTGAGTCATACGGACAAGTGAACGGCGTTGCAATGGGAAGTCCACTCTGTCCCACGCTAGCAAACATTTTCATGTCAATGGTTGTAGCACACTGTGACCAGACGTGTCTTTACAAGTGATACGTTGACGATAAGCTAGTGATCACCCCCAACATCAATGCCGCCAAACCATCTCTCGAAGTGATGAACAATGCACACCCGAACGCTCATTTTACATGTGAGTTAGAGAACAACCGTCTGCCATTTTTGGATGTACTTTTGACTAGAACTGACGACGGCTCGATACGACGTTCTGTCTACCGAAAAGCCACTTGGACGGGACTTGACGAAAACTTCAGCAGCTTCACACCGGTCCGGTACAAGCGTTGCCTCGTCAAAACCCTGTTCCAACGAGCTCGTAAAATATGCAGTCCTGAATGTGTGGAAGTTGAATTGCAGTTCACCACACAGACGCTAGAGGTAAATGGCTACCCGACAGCGTTTATTAAGTTTCACGATCGCGCGACGGAAGGGAATAAACAAAAGCCCCATACAGTGTCAAAAATGCCCGTCTATCTCCAATTGCCATTCAAAGGGGATGGTGTGGCTACGCAAGTCGAGCGCCGTATTGCCACAGCAATTTGACATACATTCAATGCTGCAAAACTGTGCCCAAATTGGACAACCAGTAAGTTATCAACGCCTCCGGTTAAGCTTACGCAGTCGGTCTCTGCCAAAACACACTGCATTTACAACTTTGTCTGTAACTGTGAAAGCAGTTACATCGGCAGAACAGACCGGTGTCTGCGCAAGCGGATCGGTGACCACATCCCGAAATGGGTTGCTACAACTGTGGCAAAACAATCGCAGGGACAAGAGTCAAGATCCAAATTGCCGGCCTCTTCGATAGCCAGACATCTACTTGGAACGGGGCACCAAATTGATTCTAACTTGGCGTTTACGGTTATCTACCGTAATGAAAACGCCAAGATACTCAAGCTCGCGGAGGCTGTAGCAATTAATCACAGCCGTCCGAACCTATGTGTGCAAAAACAGTTGACTGTCACCCTCAAGCTTTCTTGGGGATAGTGACACTTGTCTCAAACTGTGATTTTGTTGGAGTTTATACTCTTGTGTTTCTTCCATTCCCATTCTGACACCAATTAAATCATTGCTTTCCCCTTTCGTGATCGTTAAATGTCCCTCGTTTGCATGTGATCAGCAAGCGCGAAATGATATCATCGTGCAACACCCGTCTTCTCATTGTCTAGACTGATCAAAAGGTAACAATTCCGGTGCCATGAAGCACCGCAACTCGCAATGTCTGCGCACCTTACACTTCAAATGACACGGCTCTGATTCCATGAACAGTTCTTAGTAGACTTCAAAAAACTATAATTTGTTGACCCAACTCCACTGCCGCGCACTCGTCTTTGCAACTGAAGCAGCCAATAGAGATCTGGAGGTCGGCCATCTCTAGTTCTCTTCTCAGGGTATAACAGTATCAAGGCGTTAGCACTTTCTGATGGTGTGTATTTCGAGCGCAAGAGAAAACTGCACACTCCATCAGCCTCATACCAAACATGTCGTTGCTGGTATTATGTGCTCTCGTAACATGGTCCGACCGTGTAGACTCCAATCTGGAAAACGGGGCTGACCAGCAACACCTGCGTTAGTAGTCCAGTTTCATCTCCCACTATCAGCTCAGTGATTGTCCTCTTTGAATTACACGTCATCTGTAATAAAAGTCATATCGCTGTTAATAACGACAATCATGTATAGGCAACGCTTATCATCAGAGTAAGTACCGCTATCGCACTAAATGTGTGTTAGGCAGTCCTAGTTTTCACGATACGTCAGCACATTCCAACAGACAAGCCTGTCATGGTTCAGGAAGCTACCAAATTCAGTGCGTCAGACAATTTAGTGCCCCGTGGTTAAGAGTTATCGAGTTAGAAAAGATCCGGTGGGCATGAGACGGCAAGACTTAGCTTTTCGAAGGTGCTCGCAGCATGGTGTATACCATCTTGAAGCTCATCTCGTTTGAACTGCATCGCGTTGCACCTGTCGAACAGGGGAACAGCGTCACCCGAATAGTCCATATGAACTAGTCCTCCATGAGAAACTTGTGTAATTCTATAAGAGAACACCAGGAAAGGAATATAGCACCGAAAAATATTGGAAAATAGGACAATCTTTCGGTGTAGCTCAGTGGACTGGATAAGTTAAAGTCCAGGTGAGTGCTATGATTGTTCACAAGCCTAGTTTGGGGACTGGTGTGTGTAAAGGTATGCGTGTTGAATAGTGAAGGTAGTTAATCATGAGACCGCTGACCGGGGACGTCGAATTTCAGATTGGTCGTCGCCCAGGTCAGGTATATATACCTGACCGACAACCATATGCGGTAGGTAGCAACAGTATCTTACTTTCGAGATCAGACGATGCTTACAGACACGATATCGTACGGTGCTACCGCGAAGGTGCAAGTCGTCCCAAGGTGAGATGATAACCATGTCTACAAAAAGCACTGGAGAAAACATGAGGCCAACAGTGAAGAGTGCACTTGAAAAGGATATCTGACGAGCGATTCGACGTCTGGTGCTCTCCAAACGAATGGATCAGTGTGAGTCATCACATTTGGGCGGAGATAGGCCTCGACGATGCGGGAATCGGGAAATCCTGTATCGAAAATAAACAAGCGACTGAAGTGATCTGCGAGATCGGAAGATCATTAACATTTTCCATAGAATTTTATTAAGGCAGTAGTCACATTTTACGCAAGAAACAGCGCCGTTGGTATACTCACCAGGAGGAAGCGACAATTTGAGCCATTTCTTTTTCAAGGGACTCGCAGTAGACGTCTTCGGGTCTCCGGACGCAGTCGCCACTTTCCACCAGGCACTGTGAAGGAGACAGTTTAGAAGTCGTTATATTGCTGAAAAATATTAGTGGATACCAACTCAGAATTGATCGAGGTGCATACATAACGGCAGACTACGAAGTAGAATAATACTGCGTGATCTCCAGAGGTGGCCGCGATAGCTTTTTTCAGAGCAAAAACGTCAAAATAAATGATACAAAAAATACGCTTGCAGGAAATGACTCACACAAAGCGGTGCAGTGGCTCAATCACTTGGACAACCAGATCATCTGATGCGTCGGACCCGTTTAACCAGGAGTGCCAGTCGGAGGAACAGGCATTTTCTTGTGGGTCAAATTCACTGAGGATTTCAATTGCGGTGACGGGGCCAACGTTTTGCACACCGAGAGTGTAGTCACTGCCACACAGTAGAGCCAATCGGAGAAAGTTAGGCACGTTAAGTCCTGCAGTGGAGGTAAATTTGCAGTCATAGCTCAGCAACACGAGGTCAGGCGTCGCGTACTCTCTCGAGCAGCTCATAGCAGAATGCACTATTGGAACCGTTGTAAGACGAAACGGAAAGAACAACCCCTCTTTCGAAAACTAAGCAACAATATAGGATGATCACCATCACAGACATGGACAGTAACAGAGACTAAATGTTCGGCTTAAAGCTAGTTGAATCTGCGCGCGATGCATAATAAGTCAGCCTGCTCCCCACTCACCGACACGCTGCTGCACATCCTCTAGGAGATATAATGAAGGAAAACGGAGGAAATTCTTCCCATTTTTTGTTTTCGATTTATTGGACCCAGAATCACCGAACAGGTGACGGCACACGATCTGAGCACCAAACGGCCACACATCCGAGTCATCGGTAGCCACAAAGTCTACACGATCGGAGCGCTGCAGACTGGCACACTGGGCTTCCGCTTCTTCCGGGCCGATGAGGAAGGGAACTCCAAACAAGCGAAGCAATTGCTGAAAGAGGAACGAAGCTGGTGTGAGTGGGACAGACGACGAAAATACTGTCCTATAAGCGTAACGAGAGATGTGTGATAGGCGTGCTTACGATCGAATAAACTAGAATAATTCCTCATTCCAATGCTCAAATTCAGTTAGATTTACGAACTATTCGGCTTTCGTGACCTGATTTGTCATGCGTGACATTAAAATCAAGAGGGAAACGAAAGGAGGGATATCACATCAAAAAACTAATTGGAATAATGGCTAGGATGCTCAAGATCGGCGTGCCAACTGACGCAACTGCGTCAGTTGTGTTTTGTGTCCTCGTAGCCTTCTGTGAATCAAAAAAGTGTCTAGGCCGCGATCAAAATCTGGCATTCAGGTAACAACAAAAGCATGTTGTATCTCGCATGGTTTAGAAACACTTAAAAATGTAGCGTATTCTTTCCGGCTTAGAGCTTTATTCATGTTAGTCCAAATCAGTTGTGTGCTATTCTTCGGCCGATCAGCTCTTAGCCTATCGGTTCAAATTCGTTCAGCTCACCCGTTCGAGGAGCCAACATCATGTTCGGTGCGGTATTTTATCACCACTACAGTTGGTCATTTAGTTACACGAATCAATCGCGAGAGTAGAGGTGCCTCACTTCCGGGTATCTGTCTTAGTGCCATCGTAATATGAATACTGATGGGAATGGTGAGAGAGACAAAGCGAAAAGTCGTTACGAACTGATCCGGAGGACGAAAGTGGCGCGGAGTAGAGGGAGCTGAACGTAAAAGTACCATTAACTTTACGCACAGTTTCTAAGTAGATCTTGATGTTTTGTAACGGAAAGCAAGCACAAACACGACCACTAATCGATCAGCTTAGTAGTGCCCTGTTATCGTGTCGTCAGCTGAGGCTTAAACAAAGTAGACGTTGTAGGCAAACAATGTAAACCGAGTAGATACTCAGAAGTCATGCGATGTGCTAGTGTGGAGGCCTAGCGGTGTGCCAGAATACCGGTTGACCTATTCCGAGTGACGAGCACTGCTCACAGTGGTGCCATCAGCTTTTGGTGCCGCTTCCCAAGTGTTGACGGTCTAACCCGAGTGCTCACCTGGTGTTCTAAGCTCAGGGAACACGTTTCAGATCCTCCATTTCTAGTCCAGAGCTATACGATATGCTGATATCTCACCATCTCAAGAGATAGCTGAAACTTCAGTAAGCCACACGAGCCAGGTAACAATCTAGGTGGGAGAACTGTTCGATTGTTTGGTGGTTGGACGGACTGGTAGCGTGTTATCCCAATTCTGCACCTAGAAGCCGTGTTCTGCGTCAGCCAAGTTGGTATAACTCGAGCCATCGGCCGAATGCTGGAACTTCCATTCCAGTTGTAACGGCTGTGACAGACAGAATTGGTTTGGTAAATTTCATCACCAATGGGGTCCTCGGAGTGGGTGGCAGTAGCAAGAAATTAGCTGAGGTATGTTACAGTCACGATATCAGTAGTGATTTACATCCGGTGTTTTTAATGTGCGTTGCAGTTCTGTGTGAATCGATATTGTTTTCCTTTATCCCTGTTTCTCTGTCTTTGATCGTCATACTTGTGGCACGGATCACAACTGATAAACATGCGTGTATTGACTGATGCATCCAATCAGGATGCCGCATCTTTTCGTTTACACTAAACGGACTCGATGCTACATCGACAGAGTAACGCATATGTGGAATTCATATACATGCTCTACGTACTGGTCCAATAGCAAATACTGCTGGACCTGTGTGGAGGGCATATCCTTACACTGAAACCGGTCTTCAATACCCCATTCTGTGTAACATGAAGGTCAGTCCTGCTCGGTGGTCAACGATAATCCATGCACCGAGGTGCGGCTCATAAATAACAATAGTAATAACATTTCGAAATATTTGGAATGAATCGATAACTTCGGAGGAGGTTGAAAACAATAGGCTGGCATCGTTTGTGGGCACAAGAGCCTAATCAGGCTAAATGAACTAGCGGATGACCGGCCTGATGGTGATTGGGTGACAAAAGCGAAACCTCCACCTAATATACTACCGATCGTTTCGAAACCTCTCTGAAATAAGCAGTTTAGTTAATCCAATTAGGCAACCACAATCCAGGAACTAAAGGGTGGTAGATCCAGCTTCCACAAATCAATTTATCAGAAAAACAGTGAACAACGACGAGAAAGCGAAATAAAACACAAAAAGTACACATGAGAGAAAAGTGAGTAAAACCAATGGAGATGAAACACTAACAACTAGAGACAGGGGACCGAATTCCGTGGACTCGGCGACTGCGCATCTCAAACCACTAATGTGGCCTATTCGTAGAGACCCAGTCACGAAGACAACAGCACCGGCCTGATCAGGTCCTTCGGTCAATTTCCTCATACCTTTATGCCAGTCATCAACTGCTCACCTCGCAGTTTTGCCCAGCTAGGTGCAGCGGGAGCGTATAATGCACACACCAGGAAGGCGATCAATGGGCATACACAGGACATAACCTATTTAACCTAAGTTAAGCTTAGTTGACGCTAAAGTGAAGCGAACTGGCGGTAACTCCAACACTCCGCAGGCACAGATGAGCAAACACGGCAAATCTCCTGACATCTTCAGTGCGAAGTGGCCGTGTTTCGGTCCCAATAACAACGCTGGACGAAATGATTTTACTATATCACCACAAATAGATTTTGAAGAGAGTCAGGCGCCATGAATAGCCAATTTACTTGCGCCTCCTCTATGCACCGTGTTGTGGTCGTTTGGGCCTGACGGGCGAACCTGTCCGCTTGTTCACGTAGCACCTCGTCGTCCAGACGGAATTCGTCGGCGTCTTCGATCCAATTTTGAGTTAAAGTGAAACCTGCAGTGATATCACGCTCTGTAGAGATGGATTGGCTCTCTTCATCGCTCGACACGGTTCGCTCGTTACTTGCTTCATCAGAGGATGGAGTAGCGATAGGTGGCTCTGAGACTTCGATAAAATCCTCTTCGACTTCATCGTCCTCGTTCGTCAAGAGCTTGCTATTTTTAATTTGAAGAGAAGTGTTGCACGAAGTAACCGATGAGAAAGCTTTTGGATTCGGCCGCGTGGTGCGTGGAACGGAATCGTTTGCGCAAGGAACAAGTGTTTCAGGGGTAGGAATGGAATCGCCGGTGGTCCCAACGTCAGCATTGTCAAAGAGGTTGGGAGTAGCTGGAAGGCAGCTCAAGTCAGTCAGCTGAGTATGCGCAATTTGAAAAGACGAGTGCGACGCTTCATCTGAAGAGGTCGATTCGGAAGACACAGCTGAGAAATGCTCGGTGTAGGTATCTTCATTTGACATAAGCTCTGTGGAGCTTGAGCTTGGGACAGACTCAGGTTTCACTTCGTGTTCAACAAGGGGTTCGACAGATATGCAGCTCGTCGATTGCACCTCGTCCTTTAAGTCATCATTTTGCTGAAGAACATCATTCAAATGTTCTTTGTCGGTAGCTACATCCTGTGCGTTGAGATCCAGTTTGCTGAAGATGCAAGATTAAAGAGCACCTGATGAAAACAGTGGTCTATTTAAACAAGTGCGGAAAATATATTTGAGCAAATACCAATCGGCAAACCAGTTGCCGAGACACCGGATGCAAAATACAGTCTCTAATGGAACACCTTAGAGGTCAGTCGGAATTAGTGTAAAGTTTGGGGCGGAGAGCAAACTGAAGAGGATACACCTAGTATGATGACATGGACAGAAGCTGTAACTACTTGAACAATAGTGGTGAGCTGGCAGGCAATTAAGGTTATTGATTTTGCGTTATCCGTGTGCACAAATCCAGAGGTAATGTGCATGTCGGCCGATGTATCTTGATTAAGAAAACTGTCGAATTTTATCATTATAGAGAAATATGCCACTTACTATCATTGTTGGTACCTACTATTTTTGATTGTTGGCCGCGACTGGGCCGAGCTCCTGCGGTGACGAAATGTAAATTCCAGGCTAATCGGTACATACAAGGATAATTAAAATGCACGACTCGAGAGAGGTGAATGATGGAACAAGCTGGACGGCTGAAATGCCGATGACTCTATAGACACATAATGGCGCTAAAGATGATAAAATGCACTGATGACCCAACTGCTTGTAAGTCACATCGGCACATGGCCAGATGGGGTGTGGAAACGCATGTGAAATCTTTCGAAGGATTACGCAGCAGGAAAGCAAATCCACAGGAGACGGTTTTACGAAGGGCCGTATTACTTCAAGTACGCGTTTGGTTACATCTTTATTTATTCGTACTGTCACTTGCACCGCCTTTTTAATATATTTAAATGTTCGACCACTCTGAACAACTGGAACAATTATCTAATGCGATCTCGCTGTACAAGTTGGTCAGTTCACCTAGATAGACCTTAAGCCGCCATGTCCAAACATATGCCGTTTTTTGAACTTCTATTACCATGCACACAACACGAGCCTAGTGAGTCTGCACCCTCGTGTTGGACGTGAAAAGCACAGAGTACAATTCACGATGCATCTGAGATGTGTTAACTGAACTTGTGTTGAAGAAAGCGTTTGACAGGGTAGTGTGAAGAGAAGCGACTTATAACATTAGGCTGTTGGCATGATCTAGGTCAAGCTAGAAGGCACGAATGGAAATTCGCACGTGGCCTGACTCACATGCCCGGGTTGATGATCCCTCATTTGATGGTCGTCATCGAGGTAGGAAGTTCACCGAACCAGTTGATCTGCTGGTGTAAGTGTGACTAACACGACTGCAAGAAATTCAAGATACTTTAAAATTTTCTCGGTAATGCTAATCGGATAAGTAATGGTCACTATAGCCGGTCCGTCGGTGTTAATGCAACATGTGAACAAGTAAGAGTTGGATGAGCGTCGCTTCAATTGTTATCATTGCTTCCAATTACCATCGCTTTGCTCCGACACTAGTTATCCTTCCCTCTTTTATGCATCCTTCAGTCCTTGGCTGATTCCTATTAGGTGGTTACGATATGGGTATGCAGTCATCTACAAGGTATTTGTTTTGTTTTGCAGCTCCAAGGGTCTGTTACGATCCGCTGTATGAGTTGGACACGGTGGAACTTGCAACCATGAACCGGACACATTTGACACTGACCACAAGCCTCAAGTTCGTTCCAAAAACTTTAAGTCACGTGGCACTTGCGCTTTCGTGCGATTTGGCTGAACCAGTTGTAACATAGCTGCTTTAGCCGTTGGCTAAACAATATAAAGAAAATAGAACTTCCAGCTGGATCTTTAAATAGAACTAGCGTTTCAGCCTAGTGGAGTCATGTATCAGAACCCGATGTTGAAAAATACTTATATGAGCATTCATTTTTGTCTGGGAAAGCTTGATCATACGATATTGTTTTCCACGGAAGTAGCGTTGAACCTGGAAGCTTTGACATCTAAAAATCTTTGAAAAAATCTGCCGGTTATCATCCGCGGTAGGCATGTCTCCGATTCGCGTACGTAAGGTAACCAACAAGGTGAGTGGACATGATCGCATACAGTACGGCCTTAACATAAGCTGGATTTGAGTAGATTAGTTTGATGCGATTTCCCATCGTTCTGGCCGGTATGCAAACTGATTAGGTTGGTGCTTTGCTATTAATCCTCCTATTTTCAACGATACGTCAACCATGGCTCGTTGTCACTCGGAGTCCCAAGCCAGAAATACTACATCGGGTGGTATTCCGAACAAAGACGTTGAGAATAGCTAATCAGTTGAGGACAGAGTGTACAACACTACGCCGCACACCAACAGCTCCTAAGACTTTTCGTGCGTGACAACTAGTAGCTATGGAATATTGCCGATGTGGTGATACTAAAGGGGACGACAGTTAAGAACTCTGGTATTGTAGCGGACCGTTTGAATAACCTTCAATTGTCAGCAATAAATCGGAATACTTGTAGCTCGGGTGATCTGTTCAATGGATTTGACGAAGAGACGAAAACACAATTAAGACATGCGGTTGTTCCAATGCTAACCCACACCAAGCAACAAAACTGTTTATCACGGCAAGGGCAGAAAGCAATCAGATCTTTAAAGGCTGATGAAACTATCGTGATCCTGCCTGCGGACAAAGGACGTATGTGTGTTTTAATGGATAAAACAGAATACGTTGAAAAGACAAAGAATCTCCTAAGCGACCGTACAACATACCGCTGCCTAGAAAGCGATCTAACAGTACAACTGACAAATAAAATTAATAAGACCTTAAAAAGACTTCAGGATTCAAAGAAACTCACAAAGGAGGAGCAGAATAGGATGAAAGCTCGTGACTCACACATCGCCCGATTCTACGGACTCCCGAAGGTGCACAAAGCTGGTGTACCACTTCGGCCAATCGTGTCACTCCCTGGTACGCCCACCTACAACTTAGCTAATGAATTATGGAGGCGCCTTAAACATCTGATTAGTGGCTCGCGGTATTCCATAAACAACGCCCAGCAGTTTTTGGAGAAACTCAAAGGGCTGCGGATTGATAATGAAGAAATGATGGTGTCCTTCGACGTTAATGCACTGTTCACTTCTGTCAACTTACAAGTGGCGAAAGAAAACATCAGAGAACGCCTGAATGTTGGCGAAGGAGCAATTGGTAATCTGACGACTGATAGTATATGTGAGCTTCTTGACTTATGTCTTACGACCTACTTTAACTTCGACGGAGCACTGTATGAACAAGTGAAAGGAGCCCCAATGGGATCACCAATATCTGGACTCATTGCAGAGGTTGTCATGCAAACGTTAGAAGAAAATCTACTACCAGTCGTGAATCCGAAATTGTGGGTCAGATATGTTGACGACACGTTTGTCATACTCAAACGCAGCCAGTTGCAAACCGCACAAAGCCTGCTGAACGATGCAATGGACGGTATTCACTTTACTATGGAACCAGAAATGGAGAACAAACTACCTTTCTTAGATGTATTTGTTACTAGAACAACGGACGGAGAACCACAAACATCAGTTTACAGGAAAGATAAGCATACAGATCAAATATTAAATTTCAACAGCAACCACCCAAAATGTCACAAAATCAGCTGCATCCGCACCTTGTTCCGTAGGATAGAATCACATTGTAATACTGCTGAAGCAAAACGCGAGGAAGAAAGTCATTTGTTTACATCCTTCATGCGCAACGGATATCCACGCAGCTTCATCCGAAGATACATTAACCAGAAGAGTAAAAACACCACACCTGAACCAACAACAACCAAACGGATCGCTTTACCATACATCAAGAACGTATCGGAACTGACTGCTAGACTCCTCAAGCCACACCATCTGTTATTGGCTCACATACCCACCAACACGCTGAAAGGAACCCTATCTAGACCGAAAGGGAAGACGAGAGCACACGAACGCCGGAACGTCATTTACAAGATACAGTGTAAAAATTGTGATAAGAATTATGTGGGCCAAACGGGAAGAAAATTGTCTACAAGGCTACAAGAACACAAGCGAGCCTGTCGAAACCATTACCCATCATCCTTGGTCTCGACTCACGTTGATGAAGAAGGGCACGCATTTGGTTGGGAGAAAACAGATACTAGCGCAAGGAGAGACCAAAAAAGGAAGAGAATTCCTTGAAGCCTGGTTTTCTACAGTCAGTTCAATAAACCAACGCATCGATTTAGATCCGATATACAGGCAGCTGCGAGAAAAGATTTTACGTGGATCATCTGGCAAATGAGTCGAAAGAGGCGGCGCCCACACTGGGAACTAGCAATGATCACGAGACCTGAATCGAACTGAGCAGGTTCAAATGTCACTCGCTCACCGGTAAGAATCGACAAAACAAATCAGTTTGCTTATAACGCACTGAGGAAGTCACCACGACTGGTGATGAAACGTCTGCAACGAAACTGTTCAGCTCGGAGAACAGAACAAAATCTGAACCTTCAATTGTGCACTTCGAACGCATCACACCCTTCACATACCGGTCGATCCTACGTGTCTGGTGAGAACAAACCACGTGACCATGTGACAGTTCAACTTAGAATCCAACACTTGACATAATTCCCAAATTGGTTGCTTTATTTAGATCCGCTTTTTCACCAATGCTACTTATAGTGGTAAAATGATAGTAATAACAATACGCATATTCCCCGGATTTACGACAGGCTGTTCCGCCAATAGGGACATATTGTTAGCCTGCTTATGATCATTGCGACACAGTACCTAATGTGTATAATAAAAAGAATAATAATACCCATTATGATCATGCTTATGAACGAGTGTGATAGGTAGTCAGTAGTGCTCGTGTTGTTAAGTTGGGTTTTGTGTTTCTTTTCCCATAAGCTAACAGCACTTGCCTGAACACCAGCGACCCTATCGATCGATATCTTCGACTTATCGGAAACTCGCCTGCAAGGTTCGAGCTCCTTGATTACCGTGTTATCCCCCCACGAGCAACACTGGTGGCGATTTCTCATAGCGTTTGCCTGGAGATAACACAAATTCAAATACTGGTCAAACCAGTGCGGGCATTGCTGGCTTGCCGA